GAAAAAGTTTGTACTTGGAAAGACCCCCTCAAGACCAAATGTTCAGTGTTAAGTTTTAGTCATTTGCATTATTACATTACCGCTTTCCTTCTCAGTTCAGAATTCCTGTTTTATAACTTCATAATCTACGCTGTACAAGCTTTTCAGTTGAAAAGGAGTCTTTACGTAAATCTGAACTAAGATTAACTCTTTGTTATTTACAGATACGTTTGTGTTCTTGTGACACTTGAAGCTGGCTGACAATAAGTCAAATGATTGCCACCCGTATAGGATCTTTTTAGTACAGAGTTTCACGTCATGGCAGGTAATTCTTTGTTGGCGGTGGACAGACGGGCGGGGCTGTAGTGACCCACATTGCTCAGGTTCAGTTGGGTGGGTCCAAGATCCCCTGGGGCGCACGCGACTTTCACTGAACACACTGTAATCGAACATTAAGACATATTGCTCCATTTGATGGATATCAGTGAATGGGGCACATCTGGAATTTCGAGCCACAAAAAAATGCAGTTCGTTCCGACTTCAAAGCCTTATCACAAGCAAATGAACGGATTACAGCCGGGTACCGGGGTACTTTCCCGGGGGTAAAAGGCGGCCGGGGCGTCATGCTGACCACTAAGTTGTCAGCGTCGCGCCCCGGCTGAGCTTTACCCCTGGGAAAATACCCGGGTGAAGATTTCCGTCTTCTGGGTTGTTGCGCTGTGTAGTCTGGTCGATGTTAACCAACGTTTCAGAGGTCATACTGCCTCCGTCATCAGGTACCCATTCGACAGGAGACTGGGTGAGCCCCAGAGCCGGTCTGGACGCAGAGGCTAAAGGAAAAAATCCTCTGCGCTGGTCAGGTATCGAACCCGAGTCGTCCAGACTATACTCATATTATTCTGATGCAACTGCCAATCCCAGTTTTGTATGGTGCAAAAGTAAAGGAAAATAAATTCTAAAAACGCTCGCTAGAGGATAGCAGTAGCTGGACAAACTACTGACATCTGAAGGAAGATACTAATACTATAATTGTGCTCTGCAGTTGGTAGTACTGATCAATTGAAAACAGCTGTTAGGCGTTACCTTACTTTAATCGTTTACATTATGTAGATTGACTAATGTATTAATATCATAGTGAAGGAAATGTGTTTACAGTATCTTGTAGTTTACGAAATGAAGTTGGTTGGCGAGTTCTCTTGTAGCAATACAGAGTAGTGAACTTGGCAATGAATGTAACCGCCAAATTTGATTTTAAGTTGTTGTGTTATACATTATTTAGTGCATCCCTTTAAGGTACATTGGAAACAATGACTTCGTCAAATGCAATGCGACAATTGGAAGAACGGCATGTGGCAACCAAAGTGGAGCTTATGGTTTGGTCCAACAAGATGGACTTGCTGGCACTCTCTAATGTTAGAGGTACACAAACTGGGTTCTGCATTTGCATTGACTCCAGTTTTGTATTAAGCACAGTAGTCATATGACGCTCTTAAATCCCAGTGATTTTGTTAGATGGATAAAGTTATGCTGATTAAACTCCAATGTATGCAGTGAGTTCCGCTACACCGTAGTATCAGTCCTTGTCTGAAAGTCACTTCATGTGATCAGTCGTTCCACAATGCTAATGTATTCTTGTGGTGATTTGCTATTGTTATATATAGCAAAAGAAAAAAAATCTTTTGTATTCATTCTGTTTTAGTGGTCTGGTGCTCCACTACTAGCTAGACATAGCACTGCTACACAGCTTCCAAACTTTGGTAGGGCTTGGGCTGTGTTGCAGTAGCATACAGTGGTAATACTTTTGGCTGCATGATTTGGACTTTTTCCAGATTTTTATTTGGCCCATATAAGTTCACTTTAAACCTCATTTTAAATGAAAATGAAGTGTGATTTCTCAGACACATTTCATCATCTGAAAAAATAAAATATATTGGCCAAAATGTACATTCCTCTTCTTCAGCCTAAGATGTTTCTTCTTGATGTGGGTTAACTGTTTTGGCACTTAGCTGGTCTTCGATGAAAGAGAGTTTAGTTTATTTAACATGTTAGTAACTCAGACTATGTAGTATGATCAAGGAATAATAAATTGGAGAGGAAGTAGTCATGGCCTAATTTTAGGTACTCTCCCAGCATTTTCTTGGAGTGATTAAGGAAAAGTGTCAGGATAGCTGGTTCTAGGGCCGATTTGAACTCGGAATTTCCGAAGTATGAAGCAGGAGTCCTACTCACTTAGCTGTGACATTCATATTTTAACATAGTGCCTTTAATCAGACAAAAGTAATTTATGTCTCTGTGCAGTGTTTAGTGTTTACTGTTGTTAAAATCTATCATAAAAATTATTTCACCCAGTTTACTCCATAATTTTTTCTTGTTCTTGTTGCTAGGTGGCAATAACTGGTTCATAGAAGATGACTGTCTTCTGGTTTGTAGCACCATGTAATCTGGTAGATGTGTACTCATGTTTCAGAGGTCTTTGTTGATTCCATCATCAGGTGATGAAGAAGGAGGCAGCAAGGACCTCTGAAACATTGGCAAACTTCTACTAGACTACATGGCACTACAACCCAGAAGACAGGTATCTTTGTGCCTACTATCATGAGAACCTGAAATTCTACTTGGTTTATGGATGTATGTTATACATCTTTTTGCTATACAGCTGATGTAGAAGTTACTCTAATAATGATATTAGATTATGGATGGACTATAATCACATGAAATGGAAGAATTTGTTTATTTTAGCATTAATTTTTAGAACAGTTTATTAAAACAAAGAAACAGGTAAAAGACAGGTTATTTTACCAATCTCCAATATATGAATATCAAGGTTAGTGAGTTGAATTCTCTGCAATTGAGCTAGACAGTGTTGACTTGTATTTTTATTGTTGATAGTTAATACCCTGAAACTGAGTGGTGTAGCTAGATTAACATCTGATTAATTTCTTTGGCTGCAGGAGAGGTGGCCCTTCATCGACTTACATGGCAGAAGGTCTGGGTGCTTCCACCACCATCAGAAGGCACAGATGTAAAGGGGATGGCTTGGAGACCTGATGGCAAAGTAATTGCTATAGCCTACAGCAACAGTAAGTACCACTGCATACCATTCAGTAGGTTAGATGTCGAAGTTACATTGAAACAAATATGATATCATCCAGGCTATTTCAACTTAATATTTTCAGTTACCTATAAACTGCTGAGACTGAAACACCTTAGAAGGCTATATTTCTGTGAAATAGAATTGCAAGATTCATGTTTTGAACAGTTTGTTGTTTGTGACACATAATTCAGCATGGTGGTTGTGCTCAAGAGCCATTGGAGCGAGACGTAAAGATAAACATTACTACAAATTAAGTACGAAACACATTTTGTATGTTAACAATTGCAAGTATACTATTCATGCTTTACCAGAATCCAGAATATAATCATAATATAAAAACAGCTAATAAATTCTTAAAATTGTGACAGAGTTCTGATATTTGATATGTTTTTCCAGGTGATATTTTGCTGATTGATGTTGAGAACAAGGAAACTCTGCATACAAACCATGTTGATGGGGAGATCACATGTATTAATTGGGTCCAGGAGAAAGATCCAAGGGATCCAAAGTCTGGTCTCCTCCATAAACAGAAAGATACTGCGAAGAAATATACAACACAGGACAGTACGAACAACTACTTGTCTACAGTGTTTTTTATGCCACGTTGCTTTGGGTCCATGAACAAGTGCATTGAGGAGAACTCAGAAGATGCAAAAAAGATAAAAGAGCAGACTCATATAAATATATTGTTAGTTGGAGTAAACACTGGGAAATTGTATCTAAGCATATTTGGATTGTTTCCTTGTGGAGTGGTTGATATGAATAGCCATATTGGCGGACACTTGTGTAGTATTCTAGATGCAGATGTATCTGATGACTTGAATGTGTTATTTATTGTACTTTCATGTTGGAAAGCAGGGGATGAGGAGAGAGAAGGGGGAAAAGAGATCTACCTTGTTTTGTTTGACACTCCTGTATTAGCAGTTCATTCCCCAGAGCTTCATGCTTTAGCTCTGAAACATGGCCATATTGTTAGTTTTCTTGGCAATCTGTCTCAAACCATGTGTTCAATCACAGAGGCTTGGGAGAACATTTTGTTAGAGATGGATTCCAAACTTGCTTCATATGCAGCTACAGTTCCTGAAGGGTCAGTGTCTGCAGACTTCTTGGATCTTCTGATGTTTGGGATACCATCAGATGAGCTTGAGATGTTCTTGCTGCAGGATCTAACTGAAAAAGGACTTAAGAAGCTTGGTCACTCCATTGAACTGAGCTACTCAAACATTCAAAAGCTTGTTCTGAATCATTTACACTCATTGGGTCAGAGTTTAGCATATCACTTGGCTGAATTGCGAGGCATGGCTCGCCGCACTGATCGATATCAGATGTTGGGTTTACAGGAGGAAACGGTAACCAAATCACTAACAGCTGCAGGTGCCTTCCTTGTGAAAGCAGCAGAAGTACAGCATGTTATTGATAACTCAATGAAAAACTACAAGGTCTTCTTCCGGTGGTTGTATGTTGTGATTCTGCGTCTGACTGATGAGCGTGTGCCAGCAGAAATAATCAAAATGACACAACAGGATTTGGCTTTTATAGGAGATTTCTTATACAACTTTGATGGTGTGAGTGCAAAACAGGAGGATGAGAGTGTTCCAAGTGGAAGTTCTCGTAAACCAAGATTTAATTTGGAAAAACTTGGTCAGTACTTAGTTGACCAAGAGCTGATAATTCCTCCTGATACTGATAACAATCCATGGAAAAAGTTCCTCCAGGAAAATAGCATGCTTGCAAATCATCCATCAATAATTCCCCATTTTAGAAAAATGTCTTTGGTGCAACAACATAATCACCTGAAGAAAGCAATTGATGATGTATTCAGTCAGCCAGAAACCTCCATAGGTGAACTGTTTAAAGTGTCCAACATTATAAAATGTTTGAACATACCTGAGACAGGAGAACCAAGGGTTAACCACATTAATGTCGTGGATGATCGGAAGCTTCTGTTAGCTTTTTTGGATTCTGCCTCTCCAGCAGAAGAGTTTTACCTTCTGGAAATACCAATTGACAAACCCTTAATATCAGAGGAGGGAGCAGAAGCCAGATGTGTTAATTTATACTTTAACCCCCTGACATTAAGAGGCGGAGAGGGTAGGAGGGTTGATGAATCGTCCTGGTCTTCACCAATGAAGGTATTGGATGTTCAGTTCTATTTGCAAGATGTTATGTCAGTTCTCCTTGAGCAGAATGGAGAAAGCCGGGGTGCAGTATTTGTCCAGTTTCCTGTGAGAGTTGCCCTGGAAGCCGCAATGTCAGTTTCTCTCCCAGCTGTACAAAATGGGGACCAGACAACTTATATCCTGAGTCGTGCTCCTCGAGTTGAAGCCAGTGTGCTACTGGATTCTGGAGCACTTCGACCTGTGGAAAATATGGTGGCTTCAAGGTTTGCTGTGAGTGGCACCCGAAAGGTGGCAGTTGTTCTATCTGAAAGTCGTCGTAAGGTCAGGCTGTTTGAAATGGAGGTTGAGGAAGAAGAGGAGGATGATGAAGCAATGGATGCATCAGCACCAAATCTACGAGATAGTGACACAAGCGTTCTTGATGTTAGCAAAAGTTTGGATGGAGATGAAGCCGAATGGCCCAAAAGAGAGAAAGGGGTGGAAGAAGTTGCTGGGAATAATGAATAGAACATATTATGAGTAAGAATTAGAAACTTATAATCAATGCAAGCTTCATTCCACAGTTACAGAAAATATGTATTTTTAATGTCTTATAAAATGTGATTAAACTGTAGCATTAAGATATTCTGTTGTATACTACAAAGGAAAACATGTGTTTGCAAATATATTTCTAATGTGTTCTGTTGTATCTAATTTGCTTATTATATTTAATGTATTTCCAATTCTTAAATGATTTGATTGACCTCACAATCTTAAATTTAATCTTTAAAACATAAAGGTGTACAGTTTGCTTATATCACTTTTGCAGCCAAAGAATTTGGGATGCAGATTATGTTTGTAACAATATATGGTATCTGAAATTAATTCAGAGTTCCTTTATTGGTCTTCATTATGTACAGGCTTCTTAAAGAAGTAGTCTGAGTTTTGAGCTGTTAATTGTAAATTTATACATGATGTACAGCTGATACTAAAACTATAAGCCCAGATATATAGTTCATGTATACAGTAGTCTTTGGAGCTCTTGAATGTGTATATTAGTCTTCATGATTTTTTATTGGCATTTGTTAAGATTCTAATTTTGGTGTGGTTTAATTTTGGCAGTATATCGCTATGACATGACAGGATGAGACCATTCGTAAACCATGACATGTCTGATATAGCTTAGCAATATATGATTTTTGTCTTGTGAATGTTAGTCATTTATCTGACACTTCTATTTGTGGTTAAACTTAATCCTAAGACTCCAGCTTCAGACATCTCCTTCTGGCATTTGTTTTTTATTGCTTACTTCAGACATATAATTGTATTTCTGATTTCTTGTTCATATTCATTGAAGGAAGGTTATGATCTTTTGTTTTACAGGAGTTTTTGATGATTCAGCAGGTCATAATATTGAACCAACTGGTTCCATAAAAGGAGTGTAATGTTTTGACTAGCTGAGCAACTATCACCTTAAAAGAAGACTTGGCTCCATGGAATTGGTTAAATTTGTCACTATAACTTATTGAGAGGATGTTAACTGTGAAAATATTGTGCAAAATATGCATATGATAATTATAATTTAAATTAAAACTAAATTTATTTGGGTAATTCAGTAACACTAAAAGTTATGTAAAGACTGTGCAATGCTTTCCTTTACATACTTCAGTTTTTGTAAATAGGACAGAAACTAATATAACGTAACCCACCCTCACCTAAACCTATCTTAACCTAAGCTAACCAGTAATCTAACCTATTGTAAGTTAAAGTAAGATGTGGTGTTTGGATCCTGGAAACTTCAAGTTATGAAATCCTGGTGAGCAGGGAACCTGAAATGTTGGAAATATGGAACACTGGAAACGTGACCGTTGAAAGACGTGGCACTGATGAAACGGGACGCTGTTAAAACGTACTGTGTTACCAGGGTCCCGTGTTTACAGATCTCATTTTTCCGGCATCCCACGTTTCCAATAAACACGTCTGGAGTTCTGAGATGCTGGGATTCACAGACAGATTGAAATGTGAAACGGTTTAAACATGGGAAGTTGGTAACGCTGAAGAGCTGGAGAGACGAGATGAAGATAAATATATTTCTGTCTCCGTGAAACCATCAGGTCTTTGAGAGAAACTTGTTTAGAATCAGAGAGAAAAGGATCACTTTAAATGGAGAAGCAGTAGTGGGGTGAGGGTAGAAATGATGGGTAAGGAAAATGGAATTTGGGAGGGAATAAACTGGGAATATTGGGAATTATATGGACATTCATGTTAGCATGTTGGCCAGACTGTTCATATCCCTTACGGTGTTTACATTAACTTGCCAGTCGAGTCAGTGGGTGTTAAACGTATCTTTCTGCATTAACTTCCTCTTCGATGGCTGACCATTAAGGTAGGTGTTAATTTGTGTGAATGTATTACTTTTACTGAAATTGTGAAATGCCTGATGTATCAATTATTTAAACAGTATCGTAATTCAGTTTTGTAAATAGTACCGGTGAGTGCCAGGGGCTCTTTCAAAGGGGTGAAGTAGCCGGAACATGAAGCTGAACATCTAGTACCAAAGTTAAGAATTTGTTGTGTTATACTTTCACGGTTTTGTGTTTAATTAAACACTGGGGTCACTATTAAGGTTATCTAATGCCCATTGGAAGATACTGGACAATACAGACGGAATTGGAACCCAGGACTTCATAACATTTTGCCTCAACATTGTGCATTACGGTTTGTAGCAAAATAAAAGTAGCAATGACCCGTTGTCGTTTCATCTGTAAGATAGTTAAAGAGACGTAGGAACGTTGGGGGTTTGGTTACATGTTCTGCACTTATGTACCTCGTCCAGTGATGTGTCTTCTTAGAACTGGAGGATTTTTTGCACGCCACACATTTTGATAGCTTTATGCAGTTCACCCAGTTCAGCACTGTTCATGATAAAGAGGTACTTCAGTATTTTATAATTTGTTTTGACAAGATTATAATTCAACAGCAAAGGTCATTGAAAAATCACAGGTGGAGCTCAGGATACCAACGAGAGTGAAAGGACGCGAACCCGTTTCTATGAGTTTAACTGTGTTTTAGGCCTTTGGGAAGAAAAGCGTCATATGAGAGTTGGGATTCTCACGGCGGTGAAGACGTCGATGTTGATCTTCTTGGTTGTTACACCGTGAGCGCTTGTGGCTAAGACACTAATGGTTCTTTGGGGAGGGGGGGGGTGTCTACTAGGAAGCCTACATGGCGTTACAAGTCAGAAGTCGACAGAAGCGTGATAATTGACTGACAGAAAGATTTTAATTCCAATACAACGTTACTTTGAATTTCCATATACATATTATTTCGATAAACATATGTAATTAGGGTTCTAGATCACGGACATCAAGAATTTCTACGGTAATTAATTCCTGTCGTCTCCGTTCGATTCCCGTTTAGTTAATTTAATATTATACGAGAATAAATTTATATAATCAACTTTGTCAAAACTCTTATCTCATATTATCCATCTACGTCCTATTATCGTCAGTATTGTGGTATATTAGCCTATGTTAATACCGCTGTTTCATATCCGAAAGTAGTTGGTTAAAATTTCGAATGGAGTGCCGTTTACCCTGAAAGAAGGTTTCCGAATTTTCTGCCAATAAACGTAAAATTTCAGGAGAGTGCCGTAATATATGCACAATTGGTTTCTTCCAAACACATGGACCTAAAATATTATGACAGTTCTTGATCGACGTCATACACATGTAACGAATGGAGTGTCGAAGACATCCTTAAATCCAGCAGGATCATAAAACCAACTTTAAATAAGCGACGTCGTTGGCATAAAGACATTAATCAACTAACTACGTGGAGTGGAAGCCTTCTTGAGAATCTGATACTCTCTTATCTGGCCAGGGAATTTCCCGCCTTCTATGTAACCCAGAATTTATTTACCGTGTTCACAAGACTCAGTCCTCGTATGCATTTATCGCCCTCATGCGTGCCACATGTTCCGCCCATCTAATCCTTCTTGATTTGATCATCCTAATGTGTATTACATGGTGAAGTGCATGCCAGAAAAAATCACGAAACTCCTCAATATGTAATTTTTCCGTTCTTTTGGTACTTATACTCTCTTCTCACCGCTTTACATGTCCTCTTCAGCACACTGTTCTCAGACACCTTCAATCTGTGTTCTTCTTTCAGGTGAATTAATTTTTATTTTTGATCTTATAGGCAGGATGTGGGAAGACGGAAGTATGACATTTTAATGTTAGGAAACATTTTCCCTGATTTAACTTCCGCTTTGTGAATATTATTCGATTTATTACTGTAACTCCCAGCTATTTCAACATTGTTATATTTTGAAATTTAGGCTTTCAATACATGTTGAAATCATTTTATTATAATTGACCATCAAATCATTCCAGTGGTTAGTAAACACTTGCAATATCCAGTCCGTATTTGGCATGGAATACCGACGAAGACGAATCGTTGTAGACTCGTCAGTTTCCACAGAGCGACGGACTAGCATTCAATCATCTCGGGCATAATTTATTACAGAAATCGATCTCGCAGTGTGTTTCTGTGCGTTTGCCCATTTATAAATTACCTACGTTTCCTGCTATTCTATTTGAGCTTAACACATTTAATATAGTCTACGTCACTTACTTAGGCGTTGTAAAAGGGTGTGTCAGGAGAAAAGAAACAGTAAGGTACGCTGTGCGCATGCTTTGCGTAGTACTGTCTTGCAAAATAACATTGACTCGTTGAACGCATAATTTAAGTAGTGTCACGAAACAATGGAGGGAATACCGCCGCGAAGAATTTTTGAAAGTTTACTATCTGCCTTGCCGTCCCGTTGCATAAACCAAGCCGTGACGAGCCAAGTCGAAATGAGTGGTATGGAATGCGGACACCAACTAAACTGGCTCGAACAGTATGCCAGAAGAGGGTAATATTAAAGTTGATCTTAAAATCAACAAGAAATATGCATTAAGGATATGGACTGGATTTAATTGAATCGTGGACAGGTTTCTGTGATCATTGCATTGCCCCTAAAAAGGCGGGAATTACTTGATGAACTAACTAATTGTGTCGAAACGAGGTGATTGTTCCTGTCTAGAAAAATCAATCAGATTATTTTGACTGCGCTTAGTTTGTTGTTGCTGTGAGTGGATGCAATATTCAAAGACAATAGTGACAGACTACATACAGTACCTCGACCAAACCCACACGGTCTCGTGTTCAGATATTCGTGGAGAGGGAAGCTGTTCACGATAACTCGTTTTAAATTACGTAACTTATTTCAGGGTATAAAACGATGCCTTTTATCTTTCCTGCGCACAGATCTACTGTAAAGTTTCATTAGAACCACTTGAAAACAGCTTCAGGAGATGTCACTTAAGGTAATTACTCTTAGTTGTCCGAATGTGATACAGTTGTTTCGTTGTGTTTCTGACTTGGCGGTACAATTTTGGTTAAACGGTCACGTCAAAGAATTGAATTATTATTATTATTATTATTATAATCATTGTCATATTTAACCGACCAATAGGACTTTGTGCGTCTTTTTGCATGAGCGCGAATGCACGCATATAGGACGAATCGTGTCTGTCTGTCTGTCTATGTATTTTAACTCTAGAACTATAAGACGGATTTTTATTAAATTTGATAATAAACTTGTGCCATTGGATACCATGGAAAGTACACCTTTTAATTTTCTACAGTCGATAATGACGGCAAATGCACAAAATTATGTGTGGTAACATCGTGCAAAAATATACAATTTTTGTTGAAATGTTATTTTGGAAACAAGGGAGCTCCATGATACCTATAATTGGCCTCCGATTTTTTTTTTAAATGACTGATGAACCAGAGAGGAAGGCATTTTAAAATTTGATATAGAAACAGATCATAAGGATGCTTACAAATTTTAGGTAAAATATTTTTGTAATATAACGATTAAAACATGACGATCGTAAGCATCTTTGAGGTTATGTTCGAGCAACACAAAATCCGTACTTAAATAATGTGTTATGAAGAATGAAATGAATAATATATGATATTTAAAACTGAAAATCAGGAAAAGAATTTAATTATTCTTTGTATATAGATATTGTATTGCAGCATAAGGTTTCTAACGATTCAGTTGAAATTTGTCTAATTAAAGTAATAAATGTTGGTTTACGAATAATTGTGTTTGAAATTAATGTATTCATAAAATGTCGACGAATATTGTACCAAATATATAATATGTACGTTCTTAAACATTATTATCTCAAAATTCAGTTACTGATGATGTTGCATTTATGTTAGTTCAATGATCAAAGCTATTGAGAACAGTGACGAACATATATAATTCCGAGCTGCAAAAACTCATTTGGAAACTGTGTAGTTCCGCTCCTACGTACACTTACTGGCAACGTGGCAGTCAAAGAGCTTCTTTCATCATCTCTTTTCTCAACATTGTCACTAATCATCTTTTCTTCACCTCTCCTCCACTTCACCAACTTTCTCCTCATTCCCTTCCCCCTCTAACTTCCTTCCATCGCTTTCTATCTATTCAACTTCTCGAGCAAAGTCATCTCAGAACCCCGTGAGTGAAATAACTTTCCTACCATCTCCTTCTTAACCTCGTGGTCACTTCCAATCCATGTCACCCACCACTCTCCTAATCACGTGGTCACTATAACATTTTTATTCACTCTTCTCCTCACCATGTGGCCTTTAAAGATATTTTCATCAATCACCTGCCTTTTAAATATTGAATAGCATCCCACTTCTCTGTTCCACCAATCACATCCTTCACATTTTACTTGTCACTCACTACTTGGTCTATAGTAAGCTTTCAACCCTCTCCCCCACACATATTCACCCTAAAGATGGAAACTGTGTTTTGTCGATACCTTAGAAGACCCTCAAGACGTGACACAGCTTAAAATAATAGCAACGTGACCATTCATTCGCCCAGAGACTGGCTTCAGGTGATTCAGAATAGAATTCAGTGGTTTCTTGTTGTTGATGATCGGGTTTCACAAAAGACGGGGGGGATTTCTTTACAAGCTAAGGCAATATAAGTTTTTAAGACTGTCGGTCGCTCTAGATAAGATCTGGTTCGTTATCAGGCCCTACTTCTTGCTGCTCTTCTCGCCGTGGCCAGTGCTGGAGGTCCTGCAGCGTACAGCACCTTCACCTCCCCCATCGACTATGGCTCTGTGGGTTCCACGCACGAGAGCACAGTCAAGGGCCTCGGTGGTAACAACGTAATTTCTCAGTACTCGAAGGCCGTCGACACCCCTTACTCCAGCGTCCGCAAGTATGACACCCGTATCAGCAACGACGCGCTGGCCTATGCTCCCGCAGCCCATGCAATTGCCGCTCCAGCTGTAGCGTATGGTGCCGCCCCAGCACTTGCCTATGGCGCCGGATACAGAACTTACGGAGCAGCCCCAGCACTTGCTTATGGCGCCGGATACAGGACTTATGGAGCATCCCCAGCACTTGCCTATGGCGCCGGATACAGAACTTACGGAGCGGCCCCAGCCCTTGCTTATGGCGCTGGATATAGCACCTATGGAGCATCCCCAGCCCTTGCTTATGGCGCTGGATACAGCACCTATGGAGCAGCCCCGGCACTTGCCTATGGCGCTGGATACAGGAGCTATGGAGCAGCCCCAGCACTTGCATACGGCGCCGGATACAGAGCGTATGGTGCCGCTCCAGCACTCGCTTACGGAGCTGCCTACACTCCCGCAATAGCCAAGACTGCAGTCGCTGCTCCCCTCGGAGTAGCCTACTCTGCTGCTCCCGCAGTAGCTCATCTTTCTTTCTCTGGCCTTGGAGCCACTTACGGTTACTAAGCATACACATCATCGTCTTTAAACTTTCGGTTCCAGAATTATTTTAGTCACAAGAATTCCATCCATGTCCACGGTTTTTCTTACAGTATCGTGGATGTTATTTTTTGCTTTCATTTTAGGAAAGCGTAATACACAGTGTCACGTAACTCGGAACTCACGTTCTAGCATGTGCTGGCCGTGTTCTGCGTTGCGACTAACACATGTTCCGTCAGTTCTCTTGATGCTACTGCGGCATGCTGTCGTGCCGGGTCTCACGTTAAGTGGGACATAAGAAACGCACTTCAAATGTAAAAATATTAAATTGTACTATTTAATTTATTTCTTAAATAAAGTACGTTCAAAAATTTATCTCGTGTTTCATTTCTGTTTTTATAAATTTTGCAATAATTCTGCATACGTTTGTGGCTTTTCCCAGAACAAGACTTCTGTCCTGTAATTTGGAAGCCTCATTAATTGAAATTCCTAATCTACACAATCTACCATCGCCAGATCCGGACTTACCTAACCTAAATTACGTAGTGTACCAGACGAATCTAATCCCTAATATACATTTAATGTTATTCCTGTACTTAAAAAAATTCGCATCAACGTCTCCTTGGACCTTCCTTCGTGTTTTCAGACTAAACTTTTACATGTATTTCTCGCTTTCATTCTGCGTTCATATATCGTTCTCACTCTGTTGATTCTCATAATAATATTTGGCGAAGAGTATAAATTATGAAGCTCCTCTATATGTAATTTTCTCGACTTTCCGGTCAGTTTCATTGCCTTAGATCGAAATATTCTCTTAAGCACCCTTCTGTCAAGCATGTATGTCTTGTTTCATTAAGGTTTGAGTCCATGTTCGTTCGTTAAATAACCTAAGAACCGGTCAATTAACTGTTGCTTTTCTCGAATTACCTTGATGACGTGGCATGAATATGCGACTCGCGTAGTTGAGCATCACATGACACCACTTTCGTCGATACTAGGTGGGTACGTGATGGCTAATTCCATTTCTCTAACGGTGATAATTTCGCACTGTAGACATGTTGCTAGTTGGAAGACAGCTGTCCCATACAAATCACTAACTTAAGGTCATTCGCCAGTTCTTATCGCGGGGGCCCGGGTTCGCTCCCGGGTAAATCCATGTGGGATTTGTGGTAGGCAAAGTGAAACTGGGACAGTTTTCTCTCCGAGTCCTTCGGTTTTTCCACTTAAAGATTTGGCAAGTTCGCTGAGAAAACGAGGCCTGAGAGGGAATTATAACGTTATCGGCTAGGGCAAAGTTCTTGTGAAAAACGTCTCTTTTCCGAATGATATGACGCTTTCATGGCGAATAGTATTAAAGAAGTCTTCGCTGGCTCTCAGCCGTGTCAGTTGGTTGAAAATCACGCACATTTCAGGGATCATCTCTGTCCCCATCATCAGGGCTATGACGTGATAATATTATACTAGTACGTAATCAAGTAGATGAGTAGGTAACCAACTAATGAACTTGAACCGTCTTGTATCCCGGTTAAGAATGCGTGGAGGCGTAGCTCAAGTTTCCCGTAAGTCTGTATGGATGGTACTTAATTAAGCACCAAGAAAAACATTGTTTACTAAATATTTATTAAATATTACTTTCGACTTACGACTTACTGGCTACCTAACTAACTAAACAACGTAACTGATTTACGAACTAACGAAGTTCAGTAACAAACTACCTGTCTGCCTAAGTAGAAAACAGTTTTACCACGAAACAAAGAAGTTAATACCAGAAGCTATGCTGGCTGCAATTGTAGCAGCATTGCCAAGGGGATGTGTGAATGAGAGAAAGTTGTATGGCTTGCCAATAAGTCATTTATTATTAATTCAGAGCGCGTTGTAAGGAAAGCGGATGAGCATTTCCTCCATATATAAAACAGTAAAGGCTTTCTTCATGTGCCACTCTGCTTAACGCACTTAGTACGCGTATCAGCTGCAATGGACTACACAGTAAGTTAGCTCGTTCCTTTGTCTTGTTTCCGAAGAAGCATAGATTTCGTGCAACCCGTATAGTGTTAGTGTTAGTGAAGTACAAATTTTTTTATTAAAATGTTAACAGTAGGTCTAAAAGAACTAAAAAATTACAGAAAGCTCAAAATAATCGAAACGTTCTGTACTGTTACGACACCCAGAAGGTATTTTGCTGGGTCAAAATAGGCTTATACCTTATAAAAAGTATGGAATACTTTTCAAGAAATTAAATCATTCAAAAGGAACGGGAAACGTGGTATTTAAAGATGACTTCGCTGAAGACTTGTATTAGTAGTAGCAGTTTATTTGGTAACTCTGTCAGTAGCTGACTGAAAAGCGTCAAATTATAGGATGATTAATTAATGATGAATTCAAAGGATATGGAATAAGGTGGGCGTGGCTAATTTATGGTACTTTCTCAGAATTTGTCTGGAGGGACTGAGGAAAATCACGAAAAATGTGAGTTAGGATAGCCGGTCTCTGGGCCGAAGTTTCGAAGTTTGAGCCGGGGATATCTCAGATATGAGGTAAGCGTGCTAATCATTCTACCACCACAAACAAAGACGAAGAAACACAGCTTCATGTTTATAGGTCGTGTGCTTGACGTGTTTGCTGGTTCGAATCCTGCACTTGATGTGAAATTTCCCTGTATTTTTCTTTGTTGACTTGTGATGATAACCATTATTTCTTTAGTGATGAAAGGAATAGAGATTTATTAATACAATTATTATAATTATAATAATAATAATTATTGTTGTTAATGTCATTTCAGTAGCATAATATACAAATACATAGAAGGAATATAAACTGAGTTACAAATACCCCTCAGCTCTTAAAGAGGACATTTTATGTGGAACGCTACATTCTGTCAGGTGTCTGAATGCTGCAGTTATACTTCGGGGCGTGGTGCAACGGCAAGGGCGACATACTTGGGTTGAACGCAGTTTGACCCAAATTAAAGTTATAACAAGTTAGCTAACAACTACACAACTAACATTATGTTCCACATCTGTGTGGAAACACGCAAGATCTGTAATGAATGTCTCAAGGACCATTTGTCTGTTCTTACAAGGCTCTTGCATAATGTTTAGTAGGTTTATGATTCAATTAAGACAGGATTTTTTAGTTAAAAGATAGCCAATTGATCTAGTTACAAAAATAGTAAAGGTATGATAAACACACTAGGCCGATAATGAACTTACATTTCTTTGTTGTTTCAGATTTTCCAACATGTTGAGTTAGCCAACATGTTTCCAGGTCTTCGGTTATTTTAACAAATGTATCGATGTTGGTCTTCTGGGCTGTACAGTTGTGTGGACTTAAATGGAATGGGAATTTTACAGATGAACATACTGACTGTCTTCGTCTATAAAAATGGAAGCTGTATGTTCTTCAGTAACTTTGGTACTCCTTACTAGTCAACACAGCGTTACAGCTCAGAAGACCAACATCAAAATATTCACTGCCATGAGAACTTCATATCGATAAATAATTTGCTAATTATAGTTTTGTATTTCAACATTTTGAATTATAGCAGACTTTTGCTTCTTTCTTGCAGCTGGTGGTAATGATTGCTATGGTCATGGTAGGCCTGGCCACTGGTCGCGCTCAGGTTCAGACTTTCGGTTTCGGTCCCAGCGGAATTGGCCTTGCTGACAGTCAACAACAGCAACAACTGTATCAACCTGTGGGCACTCATATACAAGGTCTGCGGTTGCAGGTCACCAACCCTGCGGGTTTCAATTTGGTACAGGGGACAACAGGGCCCCTGCCTTCTGCCCCCATCAACCGAAAGTAGGTGCAAAAGCTGCTGAATTTATGAAGTAATTTTTTGGCGGAAGCTCATCTGCCCGACATGTTATTTCATGACCTAAAAATTTAGGCCTTATGGATATTGTTTAAACATTTGAAGCCAGAAGAGGAGAGAGATAGGAAATCTAATAGATAAGTAGGCGGTAGAAATAAGAGACTTTATTTCTGGAGGGAGAAAAGGCTTAAATTTGCTTTAAGGTTTTGCCCTTTCGTATTTTTTGCGACAATAGAATGAGAGGAATAGAATCTTAAGAAAGAGCCTCCAATATATTTATTCATTAGATAGGAGATCTGTGTTCGAGAACGGGCGTAGGGTTCGTGGCGAAGAAAATAGTTGCCACCACTACCAGGGATTGAACTCCGGTCTTTAAACCTGCAGCAATTATATTTCTCTTTATGACTGTACGAGGGTTAATTCGTATACTGTTTGTAAAAATTCTTCGTTATAATTTGAAGTGCAGTGTATCTAACTGCATTCTGTAGGAGCAAAGCGTTCTTCAGCTAGTCAAAAATTAATCACTTGGTAGACTTATGAGTAGATGGGAGAATATTATTAAAAAATAAAATTCAGTAGTGTTTGAACGTGGACGCTGGATTGACTAGGCTAAAGATAGGGTCCAGTGGTAGGTTTTGTGAACAAAGTAATTAAACGCTAGGTTTCATAAAAGCGGAAGCTAACTATCATTCTCTCAAGAATAACTGTGCTCAGTGTAGTTAATAATAATAATATAAGTAATACGTGTAGATGCACACGACTTTATCCTTACATTTTATAGGCCTGTAATGTATAAACTATATTGAAGGCGTTCATTTTACTTTCGTGGCTATTAGAGACGTGCAAAAAATTCTGTGGAAATAACCGCGCTACGCTAATCAATTTTTATAACAAAATGTAGATTTCTTTATAATATTGAATTAAATATGCGTCTTTCATGGAACTTATGCTTATTTTCGCACACATTTTTTAAAGGTATATTCTCCAAATAAAAGTAAAGCCGACAGGAGACAGAAAACTTAAATATGAGACGCAAATTGTGCCATCAAATTCCCCTTTTGCTGTACCAGAAGCTGATTTAAGAAGGTTAGTATCCCTACAGAGGGGAGACAGAACTATTTCAAATTACTTTACAGTAAATTTGTGATGGTTGAAGTTGCAATATTATCATCATAAGTAACATCGCGGATAAGGTCAAAGATCTTGACCTGTACTCAGTATTGTGAACCGTGTGTCTACCTTACATCATTTTGTCGAATATTTTGGCATTTGGGTGAGTCATAATTATAGAAAATAAATAAGGATTATACTATTAATTCAAAGCGCACTTGACTTAAGAAGTGAACGACTTGAACGAATTTTAATACTCACTTACAATAAAATTAAATATTAAAACTCAAACAGGACGTTTACGTAACTCTGGAGTGCTGTCTAGATCTGAAATCCGAGATAAACATTTTCAGCAAAGCGTGTCCAAGGCTTCCGCCAGTTCTTCTGTAACATCTATTCTCAACGACTACGGTACTATGGATGTTTTAAATTCAATATAATTTGAATTTTACCTAAAACATGAAGGTAGTTTAAATTTTTCTGCATAAAAAATTCGACATCGTAGTTCCTTTCTTCTGTTTACTTTGCGTTAATACGCCATGTTTTCATGTAGCCCAATGCATCGGAATCTAGGGGAAATGAGGTCCGATGAGTTAAGTGGCCAATCCGGAGGATCATCCGACCAGCCCATCAGTCACGGATTTGCTCATTCAGGTACTCTGTCACGTGTAGACTGAAGTGTGGGGTACCCTGCCACGTTGGAGGGGCATCCTCTATCGTATTTTGTGTGGTTAAAATTATTTATAATTTTTATCCATAGCTACGTAACATTTGAGAACCGAACTTATGGTCATATGACATTTTCGGCTCGGAATGACCTCAGAGATAAGATCCTGAAGTCTTGACAATGCCACCAAATACTCTGTGCAAAGACAAACTACATCACTTCTTTTCCTGTCCACCTTGTGCCTACAACTATTTTGATCATGTTTTTTCCTCCGTCATATGCTAGTTCCTGTTGGACAGCACACAGCTTCTCTCTACCTCCAATCACACCTTCACCTCTCATTCACTTTCCAACGCATAATCTATGTTAATTTTTCCTAATTCTCTCAAAGATATTCACCCTGAAGATGGCAACTCAGTGTTTGCCGAGACGCTGAATATCTTAAACATCCTACGCGGCTTGTTTCCAAAAGCTACCGTTTTCCTTTTACTCTCGCCGCAAAGAAATTACATTTTGTGCAGAAAAGTTGAGCAATATGCCAATATCAATTTTGATGTTGCAGCTCATTCTCTCTGCACCAACTGCCTGCTCAGTCAGCGTTTGCCAATGTACTGCCCCTGCCACAGCGGCTGTCTAACGCTGTTCTTGAAGACACTGCACAGTTCAGAACTGCATCAGCGGCCGGCCTCCTAGGAGTAGCCTTCTCACCGTCTTCAGACGTGTCTCAGCTCAAATTCAGTGGAAGTTTTGCAAACTACTCCTACTAACTGCAGTCATAACTTAACCAAAGCCGAAACTGTGAAATCAGAAAGAGATACAACGGATGTACTTAACGAATTGGTGAACCCCTTAAAACAAGAATTTACTCAAAAAGTGAATGAGTCCCAGCTGTGTGGTGGATTCTGCAGAAAGGTACTCTTGCTACAGTATCAGATTTTCAACAATAAAACAACTATTCACTGATGGTGTAAATGTAGATAAATACCATTGCGTCACAATAAGACTTAAAAATCTTTTACAATTTTTTCCAAAATTTCTGATTTTGTGCGCTTTTCAGACAATTTGCAGTATTTTCTGATTTTTCGAAAATTTTGAAATATTCGAAATTTTTTTCAAAATTGAACCTACTCTATCCATTTCAGATCTAGTCTCTGACGGACACGGCCTCTGCCAGACTCTGTATCTGCCTCACCCAGTCACAGCTTGACTCGGTCTCAGCCTCACCCAGTGTCTGCGTGACTCGAACTGTGCATCATCCGTTCTGTAGAACCAGGTCTTTGGAGAGATGACCCGGCAAAGTTAAGGGTCTTACAGAGGTCGGACCGTGCACACAGTGTCCGAGAAAGACCGTGTCCATCAGAGACACCTTGAGGCATAGTTCCGTTCCTATAGAGTCTGGTTCTGGCAGGCATCCGGTTTCCCTAATCGAACCCTATCTTAAATGATCTCTTCCGTACACGGAAAATGCAGCAGGTCTCTCCCACACTCTCAGCCTCTCCCGGTCTTTTACGATCTCGGTCTGTGCTCCACACGGCTCTACTTGATACGGCCCGTGCTTCACCCGGTCTCAGCTAGAGGTAGTCTGTGAATCAGTGTCTCTGCTTCGTTTTTCAAACTTTATTTCGAAAATATCGAATATTTTTAGTTATTTTCGCATTTAATGACATTTATAACCATTTATAAATTTTTCGAAAAATCAAAAAATGCAGCAAAATGTCCAAAAAGCGCACAAAAACAAATATTTTGAAAAGTTCGAAAACAATTCCACTTTCAAAATTTTTAAAAAAATTTCGGCTTTCTGCGCTTTTCAGACAATTTACAGCATTTTTTGATTTTTCGAAAATTTTCAATTTTTTTCCAAAACTCTCCCCAAGAGATGCATGCCAACCTCGGTGAAAGCCTCACCCTGTCTCTGCCGGAATCGTCCTCTATCTCACCAGGTTGCTGACTTCCTCAGTGTATGCATCAACCGGCCTCTGCAGAACTCGATGTGTGAACGACCATGTCTTTGCCCGTCTCGGTCTCTGCCTTATGTGCTGTCTGCCGCAACTGGGCTTTTCAGAGACGGCATGTCAGAGATCGTGTGAGGCACAGACCGCGTTCGTATGAGACACAGTGCAACACAAACAGTACTACAGCGAACGGTTCTGCAAGACATCAGGTGGGAAGAATTTTGAAAAATTTGAAAATTTTCGAAAAATCAAAAAATGCTGGAAATTGTCCAAAAAGCGCACAAAACCAAAAAATTTGAAAAATTCCACATTCAACATTTTTTCAAATTTTTTAAAAGTTTTCGGTTTTGTGCGCTTTTCAGACAATTTCCAGCATTTTTTGATTTTCCGAAAATTTTTAAGATTTTCAATTTTTTTTAAACTCTCACCAAGAGATGTATGCCAGCCTCGGTGTCTGCCGGACTCGGCATCTAACCTAACCTAACCTAAACTAACCTAACCTAACCTAACCTAACCTAACCTAACCTAACCTAACCTAACCTAACCTAACCTAACCTAACCTAACCTAACCTAACCTAACCTAACCTAACCTAACCTAACCTAACCTAACCTAACCTAACCTAACCTAACCTAACCTAACCTAACCTAATCTAACCTAACCTAAACTATCTCACCAGGTTGCTCACTGCCTCTCACTGCCTCGGTTTCTGCATCAAGCGGCCTCTACAGGACTCGATGTGTGACAGAGCGTGTCTCTGCCCGTCTCAGTCTCTGCCTTACGTGTTGTCTCCCGAATCTGGGCTTTTCAGAGACTTCACAGCAGAGTCCTTGAGGCTCAGACCGCGTTCGTCAGAGAGAGTACATCAGAAACAGTCCGCCAGGAATCGGTTCTGTAAGGCATCAGGTGTTAAGAATTTTGAAAGAAATTTTGAAAAATTTGAAAATTTTCAAAAAAAAACAAAAATTGCTGAAAATTGTCAAAAAAGTGCACAAAACCAAAATTTCACTTTCACAGTTTTTTCAAAATTTCCAAAAATCTTCGGTTTTGTGCCCTTTTCAGACACTTTTTTGATTTATCGAAACTTGAAATTTTCAACTTTTTCCAAAACTTTTCCCAAGAGAAGACACTCGTCCCAAGTCTTGAGAAGTCACTTGTCCCAAGTCTTAAAAAGTCACTCGTCCCAATTCTAGAGAAGTCACTCGTTCCAAGTCTTGATTAGTCACTTGTCCCAAGTCTTGAGAAGTCACTTGTCCCAAGTCTTGAGAAGTCACT